GAGCAGCAAGCACCTCAGCATTTGCAGGGTGAATTCCTGTGCTGTCAAGAGGGGGATTGTTTGTGAAACCTATGGAAGGCTAGAGCCACCCCAGTTTCTTTTGCCACATCCACAAATCTCTCCACTGGGTGGCTGCTAAAAAGCCAGAGAGAGAGAGAGAGAGAGAGAGAGAGAGAGAGAGAGACACACTTGCTTTTACATATAGGGCATCTGACTTAGTGCAGGTGCTCACGTGTTATGTTGCAGCTTTGGGAATAAGAAGTGTTCAGGGGTACAAAAGGAAGGACATGCTCTGGAAATGGCAGACCCTGATTTTCTGTCCTTAGTACCCTCTTTAAAGTTGTGCTTTGTTTAATCTGCAGGTTCAGTGCCACGTGCTTCCCCTGCCCCCCCCGCCCCTTTTTGGTAAGAGCCCTCTCCTTGGGCTGCTTGGCTATAGCTGCTGACCTTGGGGGCCCTTAAAAATGCATGTTACAAAAGAAATATATCCTGTTCAGCAGAAGGTGCCAGATGTTTTGTTTCAGGACGAGGGCTGTACTCTGCAGTGCCAGGATAGGGTTCTGAAAGCTGAAAAGTAGTTACTGATTTACTGGTTTTTAGCCTGAGCTGAGGAGACAGAGGATTTTGGTTTGCATGCGTGTCTCTGCTTTGTTCTCCTTTAGGGTCAGTGGGCATTCTTGGACTGAAGGGTTACGTGGCAGAGAGGAAAGGTGAAAGAGAAGACATGCAGGACGCACACGTCATCCTAAATGATATCACTGAGGAGTGCCAGCCTCTGCCCTCCCAAATGTAAGTGGGTCCCAACTGTCAGAATAAAGCTGTGGATGGCAGCTCTCACAGCTAAGCGCGTGATACGATCCTTTTTGCTTTGAGCAGTTGATGCTCTTGACTACACCTGTGTCGTGGTATGTGGTTTGGGCTTGTTATTGGGAGGCCTGGGTTGAATTGTTAGCTCTGTTCCTAGGCAAATCACAGGACTAGTGTATATACAAATACCTCCCTTGGAGTGATGCTCAGTGGATTCAGTTGCTGACTTCACAAGGATTGTGAAGGCCCAATAACTGGATATTGAGCCTCTGTTACCCAAATGTAAGCGTGGATGTTTAGAGATCCTCAGTTTAATTGTAAGTGATCAGGCTTTGCTTTGGGGATTTTACAGTGTGCAAAACCCTAGCTGTGGCAAGGGAGAATGTTCAAAGAAAACAGATGTGTCAACTCTCTCATTTGAAAAGTTTCAATCTTATAGGAAATTAACATGTGTGAGTGTGTGTAAGGGAGAGTGAGTGTATTTAAAGCATCATCCTGATACTGGATTTAGCTGGAAAGAACTGTAGGATTGGTTAGACTAATGTCTGTGTAGTACTGGGGAGTTGCAATGTCCTTGAGGTGAAATGTTTAGCTGCTTTTATACCAAGTTGTGATCTATAAACTGTTCTGCCCTTCATTTTCTTGAGGGATGGAAAATCATAGGAAGGTTCTCCATTCAGTGCTTGCACACATACACTGTGTGAGCTTAGAGATGTGCTGTGTTTATTCAGTCTGGCTGACACAGGGTAGAGTGTTATGGAGACAAATGTACTCGATCCCACCCTTTGGCTGATGGCCTTTCTTAGTCCCTTTCTGCTATTCTTTGTTCCCTCGCAGCACACGTGTCTCGTACTTCGCTGTTTTTGATGGCCACGGGGGAGTCCGAGCCTCAAAATTTGCAGCACAGAATCTGCACCAAAACCTGATTAAGAAATTTCCTAAAGGTGAGAGTAGTGGAATAAGGGCTGTAGGACAACCATCACCTTTTCTGGCTTGACATTATGGCAGTGGATGGGGAAACTGATTTGTTTGAGTGTAGTTCTGTAGTTCCCATCCTTTATTCCCAGTGGACTTGTGAAACTGCACTGCCTCCTGGGCTGGAAGCCTTTTTGACATGAGGGTACAAGTAACCAGTTGTGAAGTGCTACGCAAGCGTGAGATGCACCATTGCCAGTTTTGGCAGTGCCACTTCAAGCATTGAAAATATGCCTGTGGGGGAGAGGCGTATGTCGTAAATTCTCTGTACATGCTACCGCACAGGTTTTTGGTAGCGTGAGCCCAGGATGTGTCCTAGCTGCTCTGCAGAGGGTCTGAGAGAGGCACTACCTGACTGAATGTTGGATGAGCAACATGAGGGACTGGGATAGGTCAGATATGTTTGGTTTAGCTGGAGCTTAGTTTCTGTTTTCCCTTTCTGACAGGTGAGGTAGTCAGCGTGGAGAAAACCGTGAAGAGATGCCTTTTGGACACCTTCAAACACACAGATGAGGAGTTTCTAAAGCAGGCATCCAGCCAGTGAGTATAAATGCTTCCCATGTGTTTGTATTTCTTACCTTGTATCTCACAGGCCTTAGTCCTGAGCAGGACAGAGGAAATCTTTAGTTGTATCTATGCTTTGGCAAAACCCCATACAGCTTATCTGTGCCAGGCTGTAACTCTGCCAGCTGAGTGCCTGCTAGAGCTAGATTGTGGCATGTTCTGGTCTTGCGCTGTGGGGAGCGATCTGTAGGACCCCTTAGACTCAAATACGCATTTGAGGTAAAGGAAGGGACCAAAACATGACCAAGAGTTTGCCTCTCTTCTTACCAGAGCATATTGGTTGCCTTCTTTTTAAAGACTTACCTTGTTACTGAAGTGACGTATCCCATACTGCCCGAGATGGGATCTATGTCGTCATCATCAAGGTGTGACGGGAGGGTATCTGTAGAACAGCGCTTTGCGGGCTGCTGTGTGCAGCCTTCTTTAGAGCTGCATTCCCAGTAGTGAGAATGTGCTTGCCAGGCTGGAGCACATCTCTGATGTTGGTTTTGATATCCTGTGTTGAAGGAGTTAACACTCCCAATGTACGTTTAAATCTTGCTTTCTTCACCTCTTCTGAAAACTTTGAAGAATGTCCTTCATCTTCAGCTTGTTTCTAACATTCTTTTAAAACAAAGCTGAAAAGCAGAGCAGCTGCTTCCTGTGGGATAGATGCCAGCCTGACTCCCAGCTGGGTTTTGAGTGGAAGCACCCCTGCCTTCTGTTAGTCTGTTGAACTCTGTGGATTAGGGAAGATAGAGATTGCATTTAAAATACAGTCACTTTGCTACCAGTCCTCTCTAGAGGTTTGGTTTGTTGTTCTTTGGTTTTGTGTATTTCCTAGTGACACCACTAACACAGAGAGACTGTTGATGCTTATAATTCTGAGATTCCCTTCAAACTTTCAGTTTTAAGTAAATTGCAGACTGGCTTAGTCTCTTAAGCCTAATCAGACCAACAAATGAAAAGGAAAAAGCTTCCCTGAGTCTGTCACAACAGTGTCATTCCCAAACCAGTCTCTGTTTGGTCAGAAATGTGAGTTATGACAAAGATGCTACAAAGGATCACTGAAACTAGACGAAATATATCTAGAAATCAGTCTCTCAAAGCTGGTTTCAGTAAAGAGTGACATCGTAGCCGGGCTTCATTGTAGGGAGGACTAGTCTGGCCACTGTGATCTTCTCATTTTACCTAGAGCTCTAGAGATACAAGCTTAACTATAGCAAGTGAAGTAGCAGGAGAGTGACTGAGCTAGTGGTCTTGCTCCTGATGTGGGGTGGTGAGGACTGAGGTGGGCAGACAGGGGTACTGTGAAAAAAGGAAGGGAAATGAAAGCGAAAAGGCAGGCAACTCTGCTGCAGTCCTGACTGTGCCTTCCTTTTGCTGCAAAGAAGGAGTCTCCCAAGGACAAGTTTGGGGTGCTTGTTTGCTCATGATGCTATAGCTTCTGGGCAGTCATCAGGGCTGAGCCAGATCCAGCCACAGATGAGCTTTCCTGGGAGCTGAGCGTGAGGAAGGCTTGACGAGGGGAGCGTGGCTGGCAGTATTGGAACCAGCTGGGCATTGGCCGCGCATTTAGAAGGCGATACTCTGCGCAGCTCCTCTGGCCTCGCCCAGCTTGCTGTTTAACACCTACAGTTGCCCCAGCTGCTTGCAGGCAGCTGCTGGGGGCTTGTGCTAGCTGACTGCTGCATGTTGGCACGTGACGCTTCCTTGAGTCCCCGGGAATGCCCTGTGACTAACTTAAATGTTGTTTTCCCCCTTAATAATATCATTTCTGTTCCCTTCAGGAAGCCAGCATGGAAGGATGGCTCCACAGCTACTTGTGTCCTAGCTGTTGACAATATTCTCTATATAGCCAACCTTGGGGACAGCCGGGTAAGCAGAATGGAGAAGCCCACTGCTGGCATCTCGATTCCTCAGAGACCTTTATTCGCCCTGAAGGGCAAGGTGTTTGTGTGGGGTGTCCCAGTTGTCATGAGCTCCCCAGCCGTGCCTACAAAGCATCTTGTATAGGGTAGGTGCAGGCTGCTTCTGTGTTGTCTCCTGTAGTGTAAAAGAATTGTGCGTGGTAGCTCTCTTGGTGGCACTAGATATCTCACGGTGTCTAGAATAGAACAGAATATTTCAGTTGGAAGGGACCTGCGATGATCATCTGGTGCAACTGCCTGACCACTTCAGGGCTGACCAAAAGCAAAAGCATGTTATTAAGGGTACTGTCCAAATGCCTCTTAAACACCATCGGGCTTGGGGCATCGACCATCTCTCCAGGAAGCCTGTTCCAGTGTCTGACCACCCTGCCAGTAAAGAAATGCTTCCTTATGTCCAGTCTGAACCTCCCCTGGCGCAGCTTTGAGCTATTCTCATGCATCCCGTCCCTGGATCCCAGGGAGAAGAGCTCAGCACCTCCCTCTCCGCATCCCCTCCTCAGGAAGCTGTAGCGAGCAGTGAGGTCGCCCCTCAGCCTCCTTTTCTCCAAATGAGACAAGTCCAAAGTCCTTAGCTGCTCCCCACAGGACATGCCTGCCAGCCCTGTCACCAGCTTTCTTGCCTTCCTCTGGATGCATTCAAGGACCTTCACATCCTTCTCAAATGGTGGGCCCAGAACTGCACACAGTGCCGAGATGAGGCTGCACAAATGCTGCATACAGTGGGACAATCCTCTTTTGACCAGCTGGTTATGCTGTGTTTGATGCCTCCCAGGAAGCAGTTTGCCCTCTTGGCTCCCAGGGCACACTGCTGGCTCCTGTTGAGCCTGCTGCCAACCTGCATCCCCAGATCCCTTTCTGCAGGGCCGCTCTCCAGCCACTCCTCTCCCAAGTCTGTGCTTGTGTCCGGTGTTACTCTGTCCCTGGTGCAGGATCTGGCACTTCGATGCACCAAATGTCATGCCATTGATGACTGCCTGATGCTCCCATCTATAAAGATCCCTCTTCAAGGCTTCTTGTCCCTCAGCAGTTTGGCCTCCCAGTTTGGCACCATGAGTAAACTTGTTAATAGTGCTGCATCCAGATCACTGATAAAAACACGGAGCAGCACACAGAGCCCTGAGGAGCACCGCTGGTGACCTGTCACCAGCCACATGTAGCCCCATTCACTGCAACTTGCAGCTCACTCTCAGGAAGTTCTTCTTGCTGCAGTTTTGTTGTTGTTTACTCACGAGGGTCTTTGTCAGCACAGGCGATTCTGTGTCGTTATAACGAAGAGAGTCAGAAACATGCAGCCTTAAGCCTCAGTAAGGAGCACAACCCCACCCAATATGAGGAGCGTATGCGGATACAGAAAGCTGGGGGAAATGTCAGGTAAGTGCCTAAAAGGTGTGAGTGAGCAAATCTAAACCCTGGCCCAACTTTGGGTCTGAGCACTGAGTTTCTGGAGTTTCCTGGGTGCAGTGCTCATGCTAGTGGGAGCCTGGAGAGAATCTATTGCTGCCTGTGGGAGGCACAGTGGTGCTTGAGGTGTCTAAGGATTCAGTGGCTTGAGTTGGCTGATGGGGGCTGGTTTCCCAGGGGCGCTGGGGTGCTGTGCTGCAAAGGCAGGAACCCATGTGAAAGCCTGGCAGTGCAATGCAAGCATGGACGTACTTAAACTTGACCTAAAGACCTGGACTTGATTAACAAGTTATCTTAAACGCTGGCATTGCTGCACACTCTGGCATTGAACAGAACTCAGTTCCTTGCTTGCAGCATCACGTCTCCTTGTCCTGTAAGAGGGGGGGCTGGGGGTGGTTTGAGAGGGTGTAAGAAGCCCTCAGTGTCAGTTGGTGTTGCTTCCCTGGGGGTTAGCTGATGCACTGAGATGGTCTGCAGTAGGAGGGAGGTTTCTGGACATCATATAGTGGCCTTCTAGTACCAGCCAAGAAGGCTGGGGAGAGACTTCTTACAAGGGCCTGCAGTGATAGGACGAGGGATAATGGTTGGAAGCTGGGAAAGGGCAGGTTTAGATGAGATACAAGGAAGAAGTTCTTCACCCTGAGGGTGGTGAGACACAAACTGGTTGCTTAAGGAAGCTGGTGATGCTCTATCCCTGGAAGTGTTCAAGACCAGGTTGGATGGAGCCTTGAGCAACCTGGTCTAGTGGGAGGGGTCCCTGCCATGGCAGGGGGGTTGGAACTAGAGGATCTTTGAAGACCCTTCCAACCCAAACCACTCCATGATTCTGGAGTCAGGGCGCGATTATCTTAATATTTCTGTGCATGTAGGTGTGAATGGCTGTTTGGGCAGCTGTGTCTGATTTCCCTGGCTAGGTTCTCTGCCTCCTTTGAAGGCTGTTTCTTGATTTAATGGCATCTTCACAAGAGAGGACTCCTGCAAGTGAAGTATCTTAGTGCCTGCAGATGCAGAATCCCCCCTGGGGTGGGCAGGGATGGGCTCAGATCTGTCACGCTGCCATGTCTGGAGGGCCTTGTTCCCCTTATCTCTGGAGAGCACATGCTGCTGCTTATGCTTAGCACTGATCTATATTTGCACACAGAAAAGAGACGGGCCAGTGTCTGTTAGCTCCTTTCAGAACTCTGGGAACATCTCCCTGGCTGCCTGGGAGCCTCCCCTACTGCTTGTAGTTCAATATTTTGGACCCAAGAGATAGGTCGCAAAGTGCACAAGCATCAGATCTCTTCTCTGTGACGTGCCTTGCTTTTCGCTTTTGTCTCAAACGGGGCTGGTTGGACTAAGAGATGAATGAGCTTGTGTCTTTCCAGAGTGCACAGAAGAGCCTTTTGGGGAAGAAGATGCTTTATTGCTGGAAAGGTGGAGTGTGGGAAGCTGCTTCTGCTGGGGCAGCACTCAGAAAAGTTTAGCAAGCAAAACTGAGGATGATTGCAACTTGGTTTACACAAAACTGGTTGCTGTGATCAGTGGTTGGTAAAGACCAAGACATGCTACAGGGAAGGGAGGCCATCACAGGGACCTGGACAGGCTGGAGAGGTGGGCCTGTGCGAACCTCGTGGAGTTCAACAAGGCAAAGTGCAAGGTCCTGCCCCTGGTTGGAGCGATCCCAAGCACAGACACGGGCTGGGCGA